TTTTTTTGTCTATACTTCACATCTACTTTCGGATGAATAATTCATAAAATATTTTGATACAACACTATTTAAATCAAAAAAATTTTCATCCAATAATTTAAAATTTTTTCTAAGATATAAAAATTATACATATATTTCTTATATTTAAAAGTTTAAATGAAAAAAAATTTTTCTTTTTTTTTTTTTTTTTTAACACATTACTTGTAAATAATACAATTGTTATTTTTTGATGATTTTATATTATCTGGTGACGCATATAAAGTGAAATTATATTCTAAACATTTTTTTTTTAGTTCATTAATCATAAATAAATCTACTTCCTAAAAAAAAAAAAAATAATTAAAATTTTATATACATCATAATATATATATGATGTATTTTTCTTTTTTTTTTAATATTTGTGTATACTTGTAAGCAAATAATATCAAAAGAGTTACTAAATAAATGTTTAAATAACAAATTTTTTCGAGATATATTATAGATGTACTCTGAATCATAGTTTAAAAATTTTTCTTTAATGGAATGACATATATTATTAAATATATTTAATGTTCCTATTCGAATTTTTTTTCCTTTATACATTTTCCCTTTCTTTTAAAATTTTAAAAAATATAGATAATTATTTAAAAAAAAAAAATACCCCAATATTATTATTTATAATAAAACAACATACTAATAAATTAATAATTCAATTTTTTTTTTTTTTTTTTTTTTTCTCATATTAAATTTTTCTATTTTAAGTGTAAGAAAATATGAACATAATATATTAATTTTTGTTTTTGTTTATTATAAAAATTATTCATAATTATTATTTTTCAAAATTTTACATATATACACTATTTTCAAATATGTATTAATTTTTGACTAATTTTTCTTCTTTCTTTTATACATTTGCATTTGTAATATATATTTGTACTTCTTATAATGTTTAACTTAAAAAAAAATCAGATATTGTTATTAAATTATATAAAAATATATAAAAGGAATTATTCTTTAAGTAAAAATAATTATGAATTATCTTTTGAAAAAGAGGAGGTATCTTTAGTAAATAAAAAAAAAAAAAACATATATAAAAAATCTATATTTTATGAGGAACTAAGTGATAAAAATAATATAGAAAATAATATAAATATATTAAAAATAATAAAAAATAGCAAAATAGAAAATTTTAGTATTTATGATTCCACACTTATTTTAAATTATTTAATAAAAAATAAAAAGAATAAAGAATTTAGTAATGAATTAAAAAATATTAATAAAGTGAAGTTAAGTTCAACTTTGTATAAAGATGCTATTTCTAAAGTTTTAAAAAATATTTTAGAATACAATCCAAAGCACATTTACTTTTTCTTTAATAAGTTTTCCGATTTGAGAGATTTAAATTCTATAGAAATTATATTTTTACATATTTTTAATAATCATTTACTTTATTTTTCTTTATATTATTTGACTGAAATTACTTATAACATTGCTATATTAAATTGTAATTTTAAGAAAGCTGGACCAATTTTAAATGAGTTCTTAGATTATATTGTCTTAACTACTATAAAAGAGAATAAAAATATAAAAAATTTTGAAAAGAAAATAACTAATATAATAACTACAAAAGGTATTAATGATAAAAAAGCAATTTACATAAAAAGTTTTAAAAATAGAATCCGTATTAAAGGTAATAATGATGTTAGTAATAATATAATTATACATGACTCAAAAAGAGAAGAAATGCATAATCAGGAAAAAACAAAATCAAATAAAAAAAAGTCAAAATTTAGCATTGACTCATTATCTAATGTTATGTTATATAAATTAATTTATAGTTTGGCAAAAATAAATCATAATAAAGATTTAATTAAGGAATTATTTGTTTTGTTAATTCCTTATATTAGATATATAATACAGAACAAAAATTATGTATATTCAAAGGATAGAAACGATATATTAGTTAAAATTATTTGGTCCTTTTCATTTTTACATATAAGAGATATTAATTTATTTGTTGATTTTTCTTTGTGTATTCAAATTATTATTCATGAATTAAGTTTGAAATATTTAAAAATTTTAAGAAATATTTATGAAAATTTACTAATATTTGATGAATTATTGTTAGACAAATTAGAAGACAGAATTAATCAAATTGAAAAAGATTCTCCACCATCTCATTCTCAACCAAGAAAAAAACAATTTAAAAAAAAAAAAAAGAGAATTGAAATTACTGATGAAATAAAATTTAAATTAAAAAAATAAAAATAGACTATTTAATATATTCAAAAATAGAAAAAAAAAAAAAGAAGTTGGAATTGCTGTTAAAAAAAAAAAAAAAATTAATAAAAGTAAAAAATTTTTATTTATTTAATTGATTTTTCAAAAAGAAAAAAGGAAAAGTAATAATAATAATTTAAATAGCATAAGTTATTTAGAAATTGAATATATATATAAACATATATGAAGAAAATTATTATTGACAGTAGATATTATTATAAAAAATAAAAAAAAAAAATTTTAATTTTAAAATAAATTAGTTTTTTTCATAATTCTCATAAATTCCTCTTCATTGATTTCTCCATCACCATCTCTATCAGCTTCATCTATCATCTAATTAAAAAAAAAAAAAAAAGGAATAAATATATAAAATAAATTTAATTAAATAAATATAATATAGAGTACATATGAAGATAAAACATTTTTCATTTATAAGAACTTTTTGGTTATTTTATTTTTCTTTAAATAATTAAAATAATATATACTAATTTATTTTTATATATTAATATTTTAAATTTCATTTTACTTCTTGAATTTCTTCATCAGTTATATTTTCTCCAAGTTCTTTTGCAACCCGCTTCAGATTCTAAAATGAAAAAAAAAAAAAATTAACAGATAAATTAATAAATGATAAGGAAACTATTGAATAAGGAAAATTATGGAAAAAAAAGAGAATTATAAATTTTATATGATAAATACTTTGAAAGATATTTTTCCTGTTTCATCATCATCAAACAAACGAAATGCTTTTAATATTTCTTCTTTTGGATCCCTTTCACTCTGTAAAAAAAGAAAAATATATATGTTTTTTAAATGAAGTAATACAAACACTTTTTGTTTTTTAAAAAAAAAAAAAAAGAACCATTTTTATAGTCATAATGTCTAAAAAGTCATTAAAATCAATAGTGCCTGATCCATCTTTATCAACATCAGATATTATTTTACGTATCTTAAAAAAAAAAAAAAATAATTTTAAATAATTACATTAAAATTTATTCTTCTATTTCTTTTGTAATTTTAAAATAAATATATATTATTTTTAAAAAATTTTTTTTTTATGTTCCTTTTTTAGTTTATTTTATTTTTTAATAATTTTCTTTATTTTATAATTTTTCTAAAATTATTATTTTTTATTTGTTTTTTTTTTTTTAAAAATTATAACTTAGTATGAAACACATATATATATATATTTTATTATTAAAAAAGCTACATCTTCTTTTTTAGGTTCAAATCCTAAAGCTCTCATTGCCACTTTTAATTCTTTTGCATCTATTCTCCCTAGATATAATTAAAAAAAAATATATATATTTATAAAAGAAAAAAGAAGATATAAATATATGCATTATTAATTTTTACTTTTTTTTTTATAAATAAAAAACCTGTTCCATTAGTGTCAAATAAATCAAAAGCTTCTTTAATTTCTAATTTTTGTTCCTCATTTAATTCGTTTCTTTTATTACGATTATTAGCGTTTCTTACCATGTTTTGATTTTTTCTATTCATTTTAATTATCGTTTATATATTTATAAATATATATACATATGAGTATATATATTATTTTCCTCGTTTTTTCTAATATTTTATGTGTATTTTAACAAATTTTTGATTATATGTATTTTTTACAAAATTTAAGATTTGTATTATTTTTAATCTAATATCTTCTATTTTATTTAATCTTATATTTTTTATTTTATTATATCGTAATATTTTATATTCAATGTAATTTTAAGTAAATATTTGTTTTCAAAGAACAAAATGTAATTATTATTATTGTATTATTCTGTTAATATATATATATATATATTTATTTATATAGCAATAAAAAAAAGAAATTAAAAATATATATGTACATGTAAATAAACAAAAATTTGAAAAATAATTTTTTTTTTTAAATTTTATGTGATAAATACATAATTTTTTTTTTTTTTAAATTAAAACTGTTTTTAAAAAAATTATATATTTGCTTTATATCTTTATTAAATCAATATTTATTTTATAAAGTTAAATTGAATTTTATTACTTTTTAAGTTTATCAAATAGTTATAAACTATATTTGTGTCTTTTTAAAGAAATATTACAAAAAAAAAAAAAAAAAAAAAAAAAAAAAAAAAAAAAAAAAAAAAAAAAAAAAAGATACTATAAAGAATTATGAAGATACTAAATAAAAAACAAATAAAAATTTTTAATATTAATATAAAATGTTTATTAATGAATGAAAAAAATAGATAAAATACAAATAATATAAAACTCATTTTATAATTAAAAAAAAATAAAAAAATATTGAAATGTTTAAATTTGCTATACAGAATTTAGTTATGTATGTTAAATAGTTAACATTAATAGTATTACACATTTTGATTTTTAAATATATATAAACAAATAAAATATATGTTTAAAATTTTATACACATATATAATAATTTACAAATAAATAAACAAATTTAACTTAAAACTTTTTTTTTTTTTAATTAACAGTCATGTAATTTTTAAGTTTTTAATTTTTAAGCTGTTTATTTTATTTTATTTTTTTTCTTGTAATAAAAGTTATGATATAATATTTTTTGTTTTTCATTTAATGAATTATAATAAAAAAAGTTATTAAATTGGTTTTTCAATATATTGCTTGAATTAGAATTTATGTATTCTTCTTTAAATACATTTTCATCTATACTTAGATATTTATAATTATAAATATATTTCATAAGAAAAATAGATTGAAATACATCTGCCGGAGTTGTTATTTTAAAATTAGGAAAAGTAGATTGCAGTGCATAAACTTTTTTTTTTGTTAAAAATTGAAATAAAGATGACGTATCAGTAAATTGTTTATTTTTTAAATTACTTTTTTTTTTTTTCCTTGTTTGGTCAGAAAAAAAAAAAGGCAAAACACTTAATAATGTTTTACTATCAAAAATTTGAGGTGTTTGAGCCTGAAAAATACTATCCCTTTTTATAGTTTTTTTAATTAAATATAAAGTACTATTTTGTTTTTTATTGTTTATTAACTTTACTGTATCTGTCGCCTTAACACATAATATTGCATTTTTACCTAAACTAGAATAATAAATTAATTTAAAAAAATCTAATTCAGATAAAAATGGGCGAGCACCATCATGAATTAATATATTTGTTATATACCTTTTTTTTTTTTCTATATTTTTATTTATTTCATTATCATTTGAAATATTTCTTTTGTCCTTTTCTATTAAATTTTCAAATTCATAATTGTTTCTTTGTTCACTGTTTTCCATATAATTCTTTATTAATTCATAAATATATATTTGATTATTTAAATAAATATCTAATTTTTTAGTGGCATTTAAAAACGAATCTAACCTCTCTTTTCCGCTTTGGATAATTCTTATTAATTTATATCTCTTAACATCAATATTTTTTAATTTTATTTTAATTTTATCATTTTTTTTTTTATTTATCTCATTACTGATATTAAAATCATTTTTTATATTTTCTCTATTTCTTAATATATCATCAAGTAATTCATCTATATCAAAAATACATTTATTTTTTTCATTGTCATATATAATATATTCATTTTTTTTTAAGAAACTGGAAATATCAACCTTATTGCTTATTTTATCTTTGTCATTTGCTTCTTTGTTTTCTACATTTCCAATTGGGTAACTATGTAAAAAATTATTTTTCATCTTTTTTTTTAAAAGGATAGGATTGTACATATTAATATTATCAATAGCATAATTAAAGTATTTTGAATCGCACACAATGGTAACAGTTTTAACAAAGTTACATTTTATAAATAAGTTAAACGAATATATAAAAAGGGGGATGTCATTTAACTTTAAAAATTGCTTTGGTGTAGCTAATGAAGTTCTTTTGCCAGTACCTCCACATAATATAATAGAATGAATATTTTTTTTATTTATTTTTTTTTCATAATTTCTTAAATTATATAAATCATTTTCTGAATATTTTAAATTGTTGTTAAATTTATCATAGCTACATTGAACTAATTTTTCGTCTAAACATTTTTGTGTACTATTAAGTTGGTTGCTTGATTTATTACTTAGTTTCATTTTATCAAAATTACCATTTCTTTTTATTTGACAATCATTATTATCTAAGAAATCGGGAAAGAGATATTTCTTGAAAAATTTTATTCGTTTATCATCTTTTAAATTGTTAAAAATAAATTGAAATATAATTTTTTTTTTTCTTTTTCCACTAAATTTATTTATTTTTGTACTGTTTTGAAATAACAAATTCTTATGCTTTTTACATATGACATTACAATAGTTATTAAGGATTCGTTTTTTCAGATTTATATTCTTATGGCATACGTTTATTTTTAAAAAATGAAAATTTGAACTACTTATATTAGTTATATAATTAAATAAAATCCAAGAAAGAAAAAATCTAAGTTTATACATCTTTAACGATTTAATTATTATGGTTTGAATAAAGAAAAAAACTTGTATAAAAAACGCAAATAAGTGATAAGAAAAAAAAAAAAAAATAAAAATAATAAACCAAAATCTAGATATAATTTTAATTAATCAAACTTTATGAAAAATAAAAACATCATTTTAACTAAGTACATAAATATAAATATTAATAATATATTAGTTCTAATCGTTCTTTTTTTTTTTATATTTTTTTTTTTTCTTATATTTTTCTCAAAATCTTATTTAAAGTTTCACAAAAAACTATTACCTTAATTTTCTTAAATCATTTTCATTTTATCTTTTTTTTTCTGTTTTTTTTTTTTAAATTTTAACATTTTCGTTATTTTTTTTTGGAATTTTTTCTACTATGAAATCCTAGTAGTATGACAAAAAAAGAAAAAAAAATTGGGAAAAAAAAAAATATATCATAAAATATGCATGAATAATTAACATTTTTGAGAATATGATTCTTTACTTAAAGAGGATACATCTAAAAATAATAAAATAACAGAATCATGTAAAATATAAGTATAAAATAAAATATTAACACAAAATTGCTATGTAGAAAAAGAAAATTGTATAACACAACAAAAAAAAGAAAAAAAAAAATTAAATAAAAAATAAATAATACATAATAAAAAATATATATAGCGTATGAAAAAAGGAGTAAAAAAGAAATAAAATAATAAAAAATAAATATATTTAACAATTGAAAAGAAAAATAACTTTAAAATAATTTTATTATCTAATAAAAAATATAAAAAAATATATATATGAAAATATAGAAATGAATCATATATATGTAATGATAATTATTCGAAAATTTAAATTATTTTATATAAATTATATAAACAATTTTTAGAATTAAAGTATTATTTTGTTCATTTTTTTTTTTTTTTTTTTATTATTCTTTTTATTTCTAAAGCAAACAAAGAAATTTAAAATAAGGTTGCACTATCTTACGGAATAAAAAAAAAAAAAAAAAAAAAAAAAAAATAATAATAATAATAATAATAATAATAATAATAATAATAATAATAATAATAATAATAATAATATTTATGCTTCTGAAACTAGCAACATCTTCTTTTAGTTTCTTCTGTATTATTTATCTATAAAAAGAAAAACAAATAAAAAAAAAAAAAAGTTACATGTAAAATATATCACTTATATAAACTTTTAATTTCTAAACCTGTATTCCTGAATTTTTATCTTGCTCTTTCTTATTAAGGGGTAATTTTTTAGCTATAATTAAAAAAATAATGAAATGAAATAATTTAACGATGCGAATTAAATAAAATTATTTATATCATTTTTTAATTTAACCTATTCTCAAAAATAATTCATTAACATTTTGTCCCGTTTTTGCTGAAGTTTCGATAAACAGAATATTATTACTATTAGCAAAAGATTCAGCTAGCTATAAAATAAGTATATATGTATATATTTTACTTATTTTTATATACATGTGAATATATTAAAAATATATTATGAACAGAAAAAATTCTTAATTTTAAATAAAATATGTATATGTACATGTATATCTATATCTATCTATATAAATTTTTCCTTACTTCTCTATCTACAACTCTACTGTCTTCTAGATCATTTTTATTACCAGCTAAAGCTATATTTAAAATTATGAACATAAAAAAAAAAAAAAAAAAAAATTTTAAAATATATTAATTTCTTAAAAAATGTGTTAAAAAATAAAATCACCTATAATTATATCATTTGAATGAACTGATTTTAATTCATTAATCCACCCTTTAGCACCTTCAAAAGATTTTTTATTTGTTATATCATAAACTATAACAGCTGCTGATGCACCTCTAAAAAAAATTTAAAAAAAAAAAGAAAAGATAAATATTAATGAAATGAAAATTTTAAAAATATATATCTAATAAAAATACAAAAATGAATTTTTTTTTTTAAAATAATGAAAAAAATTAAAAATATTTATACCTATAATACATTGGGGCTAAACTTCTATATCTTTCTTGTCTGTAAAAAATTATTTAAAAAGAAAAAAAAATTTTCATATAACATTTATTTATAATTACAAGAAATCAAAAATTTTTGTAGTTCACAAAATTTTTTTTTTTCTTTTTTTTTTTTACCCTGCTGTATCCCAAATTTCAAATTTGATTGTACATTCACCGATATCAATTAACTGAGTCATAAAAGCAGCTTTAAAAAGTAAAAAAAAAAAAAAAAAAAA